ATTGCCTATGTATAGGGAAAGGGGTCATTTTTTTCAGAACCCCACTCTTTTAAGACAATATAAAGCACGAAAAGTTATAGGGAGAGAATGTTATTAATATAAAACTGGAAGTCTAGTTCCATGAATGCCCTCATGCATACATCCCTAAATAACTCAGAATCTAACAAATGAACATGTGGTTTTATTTTTTTCTTTAATAAAATGAAGCAGAAAATGGAAGTCCCAGGGGAGTTTTTATTTTCGTTTTGTCTGAAGAGAACAGGTAACCTGTGAATACATAGAAAGGCTCCAGCATGCATAGACCAACACAGTGAACTCTGGTCAAATGCATTCTGTATTTGACAGAGAGACACTCCAGGAGAGAATCAAATATAAAGCTTAGCTGTCACATAGAGGCTCTGAGTCATAGGATTCCAGTTCCTTGCTGGCCCACATCACCAACCCAGGGCCACAGCCATGGCCCTTCCATTGGGGGTGCAATGTGAGGCCTGGCAGGTCACCCAACACTAGTGTGGTAGCACATCTTCCACCTCTAGAGTAAGGAAGGGAAACAATATGTCCCTCAGCCACTTCAGCGTGCTTCTGCTCATCAGCACGGGCAGAGTGTCCACGAGAAAGTCCGGGTTTATATACTGCAGGTGGAACAACAGATAACCCAATAGCCGGACGAAGACCATGATCATGAAGAAAAGGTACCGGAAGTGCCTGCAAAGAGGAATCCATTAGCATGTGGGAACAGAATGCTTTAGCATCAAGCAGTGGGAAATGAACTTGTAAATGGGTGGCAAATTGCTTTCTCTTGGCAAAACTGTCTGGGAGTACTTAGGGGATGGGGAGGTAGAGATGGTGAATGCAGAAAACCTGTGATTTAGTAGTCAAGAATTGAACATTTCCTTCATGACATTTAAGTTCTCTGGTAGAATAGATGACCTTCTGGTAGTATACATGGGGCAGGCCTTTTGGAGGTTAACAGCAAATGTTTATGATGGTCACATTGTGAGCCTCATTGCCAGTGGTGCTCTTCATGTCTCCTATAGCAAGTAATTCTAGAAAACTGAAGCTAAGTCTCCTTATTTCAAAAATTTGAAAAAGAAAAGATAGAATTCACCAGGCGGCGGTAGCACACACCTTTAATCCCAGCACTTGGGAGGCAGAGCCAGGCAAATTTCTGTGAGTTCAAGGCCAACCTGGTCTACAGAGCAAGATCCAGGATAGGCACCAAAACTACACAGAGAAACCCTGTCTCAAAAACACCCCCCCCAAAAAAAAAAAAGAAAAGAAAAGATAGAATTCAAATGACTTCCTCCCTAAATTTCACAGCTCACAATAGAACAATAACGAATGTTAATGCACCCCATCCTCACTTTCCAAGAATGTAGCAAAGGTTTGGGATGCCAGGACCTGAAAAACCAAAAGGGATCACGCTGGGGAACAGAGAGGAATTGAAATGAAGTGTAACCTACAGCTTGCATTCCGAGTTTCTCGGAAGCAGACACTAATTCCTCCAGCTATTTAGAACCACGTTCGTTTGCTGTCCTAATTCTGAATATAGAAAGAAAGGAAGAGTTCAGAGAACTCAACCTGCATGGCTATCTGTTTGATGCTAATACTCATTCTTTTGGCCTGTACCAAGTCAACTGCACAGTAAATGTGGCCTGGACCAACTAGGTCAGAGGCCTGATTCTGCCACTTACCTAACCAAAAACTTTCTCTTCTGGTTCTTGACGATGTTCTTCTCCTGTGGAAAGTAATGAACACGAAAACTACGCGTAACTGGAATCTCAAAGAGAAGCAGTGCAGTGAGTAGGGAACTACAAGGAGAGTCTTTGCAGTGAGCCCAGCTATCTGCCTTTTGCCAGATGCCATGGTGTGGTGCTAGGCAACAGAACCTCACTTTCTTTCTCCAGGATTTTTAGAAAGAGGAAGAAGAAGGGCTAGAGAAAAGCCAAAGTGTGGACAGGCCAGACTCACCATGTTGCTTTGAATGGTCTCTACCAGAGTTGCCCCAGGTTCCACTACTTGCGAAGAGTCATTCTGGGCTTTGGATCTGGATTTAAAAACAACAACAACAACAAAAGATCAGAGCCAGTTGTGTGTGACCCCAGGAACAGCTGTAAGAGCTTTCCTAAGTCATGAAACACCTGTGACATGGTTGAAACAGCACACAAAGACACTGGATCATGTCTGATTCTTTTACAATGATTTTCAAAGTTAGCATACAATGGGTGTCATTATGGCCTTTTCAGACATATGATTTATTATACTTTCTCCTAATTTATTCCTCCTTGCAACTGCCTTCTTGGGGCCTCTTATTTCCTCTCTGATTGGTTCCCTTTCTCCCCACAAGAGTCCTCTACTTCTGCCTCCATGTCACATGTTTTCCTCCATTTTGGGGGTGGGGGGATAGTGAGAAATGAACTGAAGACCTTATGTGTTCTAGGCAAATACTCTACCACTGAGCTATATCCCACCCCCATTCTATCCTGGTCAGGGATTTTATTGCTGTGATGAAACACCATGACCCAAAGCAACTTGAGGGATAAAAGGTTTCTTTGGCTTATACTTCACATCACTGTTCATCACTGAAGGAAGTCAGGATAGGAACTCAAACCGGGCAGGAACCTAAAGGCAAGAACTGGTGCAGAGGCCATGGAAGAGTGCTGCTTAATGGCTTGTTCTTGGCTTGCACAGTCTGCTTTCTAATAGAACCCAGGTTCACCAGCCTAGGGATAGCACCACCTACAATGGGCTGAGCTCTCCACCACCAATCACTCATTAAGAAAATGCCCTAAAGGTCTGCCTACACCCCAATGTTATGGAGGCATCTTCTCAATTGAGGTTCCCTCTTCTGCATTTACTCTAGCTTGTGTCAAGTTGACATAAAACTAGCCAGCACACATTCTATTCTAAAGATAAGCCCTGCCTAAATCTCTGGCTGAGGAGGCAGAGTTCAGTGTTCAAGACTGTCAAAACAAATAGCTAAATGGGCTTTCCTGGCAATGGAGCTGGCTCCTAGTTACCTGTGTGTAACACAAGACTCAAAAAAAAAAGAAAAAAAAGAAAGAAAAAACAAAACAGAAAGCAATGTTAACAGATACAATTCAGTAGATAGAAGCCTATGTATTTCTATATTTTAGCAGTTACCACCCATAAAAATCAAATGAACACAACATTTACAATATCAAAAACTATCAGTATGATTAAAGATGTGTAAGAATACTATTTAGAATGATAATATACTATAGGAAAATTAAAGATCTAAATAAATGGATGGATAAAGTTAGAACAACTGTTAGCTAGACATTAATTAACCTCCAAATTTTATTTACAGATCCCAATAATTGCCATCAAAATCTCAGTAAGGTTTTTTTGGTAGAAATTGAAACTGTTATAAAATATTTGTATTGAAATTCATGGGTCCAAAAGTAGCCAAAATAATCTTAAACAAGAAAGACTTGCAGATTATATTTACCATATATCAAGGCTAACTATAAAGCTATAATAATTAAAACAATTCAGTAGAGGTAAAAGTACAGAGACACAGATTAATTGTGAAGAATAAAGCACATAAAAAAATAGGCTCACCAAGGTCTACCAAGGCACCCATGGAAATAAATCATCTCTCTAAACTTGCAAGTTTTAAATACTTAAAAGTTTAAAGAATATACAGGGCTAGATGGACACAGGAAAGATAGTTTTCAGATGAGTACAAGCATAAACAATAAAAACCTGGAGGAAATCATAGTGTCATTCTACTGAGAACTGAACTCAAGGCCCGAGGAAAACAATAAGCGAATGGGAATGGCACCTTTACCCACTGAGCAATCTTCCAGCCCAGAATCCTTGTAAAGTTCTTGTGAGTGAGATATTGATCCAGATTGTTTCATCTAGTACAACCAAGATATGTATACCTGATGACCCTTCAAAAATGGAAGGATACATTTAAATATCCCCAAACTTGAAATAGTCAAAATGTTCATCAGTGATAGATTAGTTGTGTCATATTCATACAGCGGAATATTATAAAGAGTAAGTCACATGATGCAGTAGAGATAAGCCTCAGAGAAAGCCAGACATAGAGGACATAGACTGAATTTATAAAAAAAAAAAAAAAAAAGATAGAGTTTTAAAATGATCAGACTAGTGGTTACTTTTGCAATGGGTATTGACAAGGTAGAGAGTCCAAGGAAGTTCTGGGGCTTATATTCTATGTAGCTCTGAGTGGTACTAATGTATTTTGTATAATATGTGATACAATTAAGAAGTATAAACAAAAAGAATATGTGTCAAGTTCTGTGAAATACATCTACAAATTTCTGGTCATTCATTGTGTCATAGTTCTGGGAAAGGTTGTGACACACACAGATGCCAGTAATTTCTGTACCTTGTATGTGCTATCTCTTTGCTATGTTTTTTTCATCTCTGAACATAGCTTGAGTCGTGTTGGGGCCACTGTGTTCAACAAAGAATATATGAAAAGAGTATCATAAAAACATTTCAGATCCCAGTTACTGGGTAGGACACTAGTCTGAATGCTGATGAGTGAGTGTTCAGTCTGAAGCGTGAGTAGAGGTTGCCAGGGATGGCCTGATGTATGTATGTCCTTTACCAATTTGTCTAAATGTTCTGCTCTTCAGGGAACTGCCTTGGGGCAGGCACTGCAATCCACCAGGGGGCGCTCATTACCCAAACTTACATTTCTTTTTCAAGCAGCATCATTTCTTGTTCCTTCTCCATCTCCCTCAGAATTTCTTGGTATTTCTTCCCATGGGGGAGAGCATCATAAACAAGAAATTTTGTTTTTTTATTCCACTAAAATGAACTCCTAAGGTTCCAAATACCTGACACAACAGGGTGCACAAAGTAGGGGGATGTTCTAATAAAAAAAAAAAAAAGACAGAGTCCTAGTGACAGAACGGGCATATAAGAACAAAGGTTCCCCTTCTAGACCTTGACTGTACTCAAAATGCAGATCTGACCTGGACTAACTGAATTCCCAGAGCATGTAACCTAGCTCCCTGAAGCTTTGGTGTCCTCCACAGAACTCCTCAGACTTACTAGACAAACAGGGTGAGGAAAACACTAAAAAACAAATGGGTTGAGGAACCCTGTCTGACAGGGTTCAGCACTTTGTCTAGGGCACTTATATTTGGTGGTTATTCTGATGAATAAAAGGCATTTTCCCATGGCAGATGGTAGCCTAATGAGAAAAGAGCTCTTTCCTGACTTGGGGAGATTTGCCTCCATTCTGACTTCCCCAGCAACATTGTACCTTTATGTAGTGGGCCTGGTCTTCACAGAGCTGGTACACAGATTGGTAGTCACTTTCCATCTAGAAAAAGAAGAAAGCAAAGGAACCTCATCAGTTCAATCAGTACCAAGTTTTGGCTGCTTCCCTGGGAACCTGCCTGGTACATTGGACATGTGGCCGGTTACTTAGCAACTCCTTACTTGAAGGAAAACAACCACCTCTCAAAAGGTGACCTCATCATTCAGGCCCAGGGCCTAATTTTGAGTGGGGGAGGGGGAAAACTTCACCCATGTTGTCCTGTGCCTCTCTGGAAAGCAGGGGGGAATATTAGATTTGGGATTCTATGAGGCAGATGAGTGTTTTAAAAATGTTAAGGCCAGTATTTAATGAAGTCGTTTTTCCCACCTGCCTGTGAATCAGAAATTCACTTGCCAGATTTTCCTGCCCCACCCCTCCCATGCCTGAAAACCTTTCTGGAGTCCCTGGGGCTTTCCCTCCTATTTAGGTCCTAGGTAGACACTTAGTGGCAAAGGCACTGGCCCAATCTAACCTTGGCCATTTCCTTCTCTTGTTGTGCACAGGACTCGGTTGACTTTTGTAGTTTCACCTAGGGAAGACAGTAACAGCAGAAAGTGAACAGCATTCCTTTGTGCAAGGAAAACCCAGGCTAGCAGAAAGCAAACTCAGGGTGGCTGTCGTGTATTGAGGACAAATAATTAAGGGAGGATATAGTCATTACCCATTTTTCAGATGAGGAAACAAAGGCACGGAGACGTTATATACACAACTAAACCAAGTCTCAGAATGGCAGAGTTGACATTTGAACCTTAGTAGGCAGACTCTCCAGTGACTCTGGCTGTTCTTCTTCCTCCTACTGAGCAAAGCCCACCAGCCTTTTTCTCCCATTTATTCGGGATGTTGCACACATGCTCTCTAAATCACACGAGAGTCATAGGAGACCTCCCACTTTGTCAGAGAAAAGCAGACAATGGAGCTCTTGCTGGTGAGCTCAGCCAAATGGCACACTTGCCCCCTAAAACTGCAGAGAACTTCCCAATATGATTTACCACCAACTTGAGTCCATTTCATTTGTTCACTCAGCAAATATCTATTGGGCATCTACTATGTGCTAGAATGTTCTAGACATTGGGGTGCAAACAATATAGTTTTACAAATTAATACTCTCAATTGCTTTACTTTCTATTAGAGGGAAAAGACAAAATAAGATTTGAAAATAAAATTTACTCTATGAGCCACAGCTTGGCGAACCATATAAGACTATTGATACATCCTTATGTACTGTGAAAATTAGCATTTGCTTTCTACTTGAATGTCTGTATTTGCGTTGTCCTTATTTAGATACAAACTGCTCTGGGGAAGACCCCAGTACATTTTTGGAATGTGTTTCATTCACTAGTGAGACTCTCAAGCCATTCCGTCCACCTGAAGGCAATGTAGGCACCTCTGCTTCGAGTGTGAACAGTAAGGTTAGGATGCCCCATGGGAGAAAAGGATGCTGGCCCTTCTCTAATGCACAAATAGACACATCTAGTGTCACACGTAAGAGAATCTATGAAAACAGTCTCCTTGAACCTAGGGTCTATACACGTGTCACACACATGCACACACACACACACACACACACACACAAAACCCAGTTTGCTATTCTACTCACCTTCAATTCTGCTATTTTCTTTTTCAGGGTTTCTGAATCAGGGCCAGCATTTTTAAGTCCTCTTGAAATCTGAAATATCATTCCAAAAACTGAACTCATCAAGGCACATGGATAAGCTAAGGTTAGACTTAGCCAGCAGAACAATTGTAGTTACTAATTCAGGTACTAAAACATCTTGGATGGAAACATGTCTTCTTGACCCTGTGGAAGTTGCCTAACTCCATACTGAGTGTACAGCCTTTTACTTTTTTAAATTCACATTTACTTGTAGTTTGTGTGTGTCTGTGTCTGTGTCTATGTCTGTCTGTGTCTCTGTGTGTGTCTATGTCTGTGTGTGTCTGTGTCTCTGTGTGTGTGTCTCTGTGTGTGTCTGTGTGTGTATGTCTGTGTCTGTGTGTCTCTGTGTGTGTGTACGTCTGTGTCTGTGTCTGTGTGTGTCTATATGTGTGTTTGTGTGTGTGTGTGTATGTCTGTGTTTGTGTGTGTGTGTCTGTGTCTATGTCTGTCTGTGTCTCTGTGTGTGTCTATGTCTGTGTGTGTCTGTGTCTCTGTGTGTGTGTCTCTCTGTGTGTGTCTCTGTGTGTGGTCTGTGTGTGTCTCTGTGTGTTTGTGTGTGTGTGTATGTCTGTGTCTGTGTGTCTCTCTGTGTTTGTATGTCTGTGTCTGTGTGTCTCTCTGTGTGTGTTTGTGTGTGTGTGTGTGTATGTCTGTGTGTGTGTGTGTATGTCTGTGTCTGTGTGTCTGTGTGTCTGTGTGTGTGTGTGTGTATGTCTGTGTCTGTGTGTGTCTGTGTGTGTATGTCTGTGTCTGTGTGTCTGTGTCTGTGTGTCTCTGTGTCTCTGTGTGTGTGTGTCTGTGTCTGTGTGTGTCTATGTCTGTGTCTCTATGTGTGTAGGTATGTACATGTGAGTGCAGCTGCCTTTGACATCCAGAAGAGGGTGTCAAATCTCTTGGAGCTTGAAATAGAGGTGGTTGTGAACCACCTGACCTGGGTACTGGGAACAGAGCTCATGTTCTCTGTAGGAGTATGTGCTTTTGATCACTAAGCCCTGAGGGGACACCATTTTCTGTCCCCAAGACCATCACAGCTCCGTAACGAGGAGAGACCGGGCATAGCAGTAGGAGGAGGGAAGGAGTGGTAAATCATTGCTCACTTTGCGGTTCCTTCCTCTCCCCTGACCTGTCGTGACCAGAGGGCAAATACTGGCTTAGTGTCTGTCTGAAGACTCTGAAAGTGATAGGGGTGTGGAGCACAGACATTTCACTGTCTTCTCCTTGTTTTTCTGACTAGAGAGTTCAAGAAGTTAACAACTCTATTAGAATTCTTTAGAAATTAGTCATATTTTAAGAATGGACTCAGTGTCTGAAAAATCCCTTCATTTGTAGTCTATATATTTTATGTGGTTACATATAATTGATGTGGGTGCATATATATATATATATATACACACACATAGATATGTATATATATGTATACACACATATATGTATACACACACATACACACACACATATATATGTATACACACACACGCATATATATATGTATGTATGTATGTATGTATACATATAGTTTATTCTGAGCATCTCCAGAACTCACCTTTTATGTCTCCTGCCCATCCCACCAGCCTTTCTTTTGGAATGACAATGGTGTAGGAAATGGAGTACCTTATGACCTGAGGTGTCTCCTTACCTTTTTCTGAAGTTCCATGACATTCCTGCTTAGGGTCTTATTCTTTTTCTCCTGTAGGAAGAAGGAATTTAAGGAGACAAACAGATTCTGCTCTCAACCTTTTCTCTTACCAAGGCCACGTATGTAATATGTAAGGATGAGTGTGTCAAGTTAAAAAAATAATGCACCCTGGTCCAACATGGGGTATCTGGGACAGAGCCAGGATCTTGTCCCCATGCCCAGTGTTTCATTGCCACAGAGCTCTCCCAAGCAGCTGTGATTTCTATAGTCACAGAGGCCAAGCCTATGCACAGCCTCTGGGGAGAAGAACAGGATGATAAGTGCAGAAGGCATCTGAGGGTCTCTTTTAAAAGTCTCCTCACCAGCTTTGCTGTCTCCAGCTCCAGGTCCTTCAGGGCATTCTCCCTCTGTATTGTGATCTCACTGAGGTCATCCTTCTCTGAGACTTTTCCAATGGACAGGGCAATATCTCTTTCAAGACTGAAAAACAAAGTTACTCAGATGTGGCTCAGTCCTAAGGAAGCTGCCACCAAAATCACACCATCTTGGTTGACAGTTGTAATAAAATGTCAATGAAGGGAAGAAACTGAGTGCAAAGATCTATACCAAAGCCTTTTGAGGGCATCACAGCTCATGTTTCAGGATTTAAATAACACACTGAGATTTACACCAGGGAAGTAAACCTTCCTCCACTTCTCTCTAATCTATGGACATCACCCGAGGAGCTCCACTTCCCTCTAATCTATGGACATCACCTGAGGAACTCCACTTCCCTCTAATCTATGGACATCGCCTGAAGAACTCCACTTCCCTCTAATCTATGGACATCACTTGAGGGGCTTCTCCTCCACAAATGACAAAGCCTGACCTTTGAATAGATTCCTCTTTCTTTTGAATCTTTCTGAGGAGAATCTGATTGGCCTCATCCAGCCTCTGTAGATCCTTTTCAAGGTCCAAGTTCAGATAGTTGAGATTCTGTTTTATGGCTTCTAAAGTCGGTATTTCTGTTATCTCCTGCCTAAAGGAAAAGTGTCTTCATAACTAAACTCAGATCAGAACATCAGAATCCCAAGAAAACATCCCCGAATTCTTGTTCTCCAGTCTTCTGTTGTTTATGTGCCTAATAGGTTCACTGTTTTTCCCATGATAAACCAATCTCTATAGTGTTTCTCATAAAGTAAATATCTGTCATATCACATTTTAATTCAAAATATTGTAAGTTATACTAGAATGTAAATCTCTTGTGAGCAAAAGAAAAACCATATTTTTTATATAAATGATTGTACTCTAACTTGTTCACTTCCAAAATTTTTACATGGAGAATATGGAATCTAAGCAACACCTATAAAGCATTTAAAGATAGAGAAAATGAAAGAAATTTCTTTAGTCTTTTGTCAGAAACTTGAATATTTTCTGTTTAGTTTGTCAGAAGCCAAGGCTTGGTGGGAAGAAAGGAAGGCAATGAATCTTTCCCCTAAACCAGGCCAGTGTGCTGGGTGACTGGACAGCTTTTACAGCATGATGAAGGGGAAATGGAGCTGAAATTTCTTCTACAATCCTCTCAGGCTTAAGGAGAGTACATCCTTCACAACTGTGGTCTGGATTGCTGGAAACTTCTAGAGCAGTCATCCTTCCAGCTCCCTATTGTTGTATTACTTACCCATCATCCAATGGGTTCTGTCCAATGTCTTCCATCTTTGGCTTTCTAGATGTGAATGCAGACATCTGTCATGAAAATGAAGGTCCTACTATCCATCATGTCATCAGCCAGAAAGGAGCTGGCAAAAGTCAGACACTCTTTGGGCAAGGCAGAGTCAAGTTGGAGCCTTCTGTATGCTCTCACTTTTCCAGACTCAGTTTCAACATTCTATACAAACTAAATTTCAGCAAACTAGATTACAGCTTGATTTTGGGATCTCAGAACCAATCACATTGGGTGTAGAAATCTTTTAAATTTCTTCTCTTTTGATCCTTTCCCTTTCTTGCTTGCTCTTGCTCTGGTAGGTAAAAATTTAAGGGACATGTGATAGACTGGTGTATGTCTATTGACATACAAAAAGAATTTATTTCTAACTCAAACCCTCAGGAAACAACAAAACAAAACAAAAACCCCAAACAAAATGAAAAAAAAAATGAATGGAGAAATTGGCTGCCTGATTTCTATTAGCCTATTACTTTCCAGCTTTTCAACAAGCTCTGGACAGTAAAGGCTGAGTTGATTAAGCAACATGATACCACTATTGGAAACAAGACAGAGGCATCAAGCTTTGAGGCAGACCCAAAAGCTGATATTTTATAACTACCACAGTGGCACTAAAGTTCAGATCCTAATTCAGTCTTAGGAAGGCAGAATACCAGGATGCCATTATCTTTCCCATTCTACCTTTTGCTTTACAGCTCTTCATCTTAATACCTTTTGAAGTTCATCTCCCACCTCTTTTCCTTCCATCATTTCTGCTTCATTTTCCTTTTCTTCCAGAAGTCTCTTTACCCACAAGAAAAACCAAACTGTGCTAATACCTTTTCAAACACAACTTTCCTTTCCCAACAGAGATTTCTTTTGTTCCAAACAGATTTCCTTTCCAGCTAGATGCTAGGACTGTCACTCAAGGGGTTGCCTTGCTGACTGAGTCTCCAATATAACTGGGCTGGTTACTCTGCCTGGGTGGGGCAGCATGTCATAGTGGGATAGTGACATCGTCTTGTCATCCCAACAGCAAAGTGGGAAAGTCCAGAACTTCAGGGCAGTTCAGGTGTCTTATGAAACAGGAATAGGTCCTATGGAACAAGTTTGGGCACAGCTAAGACATCTTCCGAGGCAGCAACAATCTGCTGTATGGGGAACACATTCACATCCCAAATCTCTAGACCTAGCAGATGTTTTGACCACTCTCATTTCTCTTCCATGATCTCTGTGTGGCACGTTCACAAGTTACTGCAGTTAAACTCAAATGTGCACCTCCATTGAGTTATCCAAAGGGTATGAGGTAGGAAAGTCAGAAAGAAGGCCTGAAGAATCTGAATGGTGTCTGAGCCTTTGTTCTACCACATGGGGCTTTTGGAGCTATAAAAACTAATCCTCCTGCCCTGCACTGGTCCTCTAGGTCATTGGGAAAGAAGAGTGAGATATTTTGATGGTGGCAGGAATACAAGAAGATGAGAAGGCAAAATAGGAAGGTGGGAAAAGAAATGTTAGGTCCAGAGACCCAACTCCACTGCCTACTGCTATAGATTATCCCCTTTATTTTTTGAGGTCTTAAATTATTGCAGGAGTAGATGGCATTTAGCATATCAGTGTCACCTTGGCAAACATTCTAGGATTCTCCTCCATACTAAGATAAGGCAGGATATAGAATTGTAAAAATATCAATAGAGCATAAGCTAGATATGCTCCTATAAACAAACTCCCACCTACATTGTACTCTATGACCTGAATCAAACCTATGAGAGACAAATGGCAGTGACCTCCAGTCCCTGGGAAAGTCTTTGACACCATTTTGTCCAGGAATGTGCCTCTCAAGCAGGGACCTCTTCTGTAACCTCCTCAACCCTTCACCACTCAGCTCACACACTGCTGCATGGCCATATTCCCAAATACCAAACAACCAGTCCCAGCAGAATTAAGTCCTTGACTCTCTGCTCCTATTTTGGCATTTTGTATTATTTTCAGTCTGTTTTACATTCTATAGTTAGGCCATAGGATGGCCCCTTGAGTGCATTTTAATCATTCATTTTTCTGTCCCTGCCTAGGTGTGCTCCAGGGTTCTGTTCAGACAAAATTCAATATGGCAGGAATATTTTAAGAATAAATGGGTGAATAAATGATTTATATGATTTCTATTATCTAAGACAGGAGAACAGGATTCTTTGGCTCCTTCTCCTTCTAACACACCTAAGACAGACTTCCCTGTACAGCCAGATTAGTACATGATCATTATTGATAGTGTGCCATGGAAGAATCCTCACTGGACAGCCACATCCTCTAGGTTCCACTGGTTGACAGGCTGTGATGAAAATATTTTTCAAACCAAACTGCATCTTCTTTTCTTTTTTCTTTTTTCTTTTTTTTAGCTTTTTAATGATTCTACTTTATTAAGATTCCCCCTCACCCACCCACCCACCCCAAAAAAACCCTAGAAAAGCATTTTCAAAAGCCGTTTTTCAAATCGCAAGTTGAACTTGAGCGCTCCCTGTGAAGCTCCACGATCCACCATTGATGAATCTTTACTGCATTTCAGGATTGTTCCTGAAGAGATAGCATCTTCTTTTCTTTAAGGACATTGTACAAATTCTCCCTCTCTATGAGACCTTCCATGAATCATTCTTAGCTCATTACTGCAAAGAAATAATATATACTTGGTGTGAGAACATATTTGCCTTTGAAAGCAAGAAGCTCAAAGCCACAACTGAAGCTCTAAATGTTTACTGCTGTACTTTATTTTCTCCTTCTCCTGTGAGACCTGGGCATCAAATTCAAGTTCTCGTGCTTATATCAAGTGCCCTTAACTGTTGAGCCATCCTGAAGGTCTCTCAATTTATTTATATAGTGCGCAAGGGCTAGAAGATGCTTCATGTCTTTTGTGACAATTAAGAAGTGTGACAGCTACCACAGGAGTTAATAATGAGGTGAAACTGATTGCTTTCTAGAGGATGGGGGTATAGACCCATTTCCTCATGTATCAGTTGTATTTTGTCAACTTCACACACACTTGGACATACCTAGGAAGAAAGACTCTTAACAGAGAAAATGCTTCTGTCCCAGACTGCATATAGGCAACTCTGTAGGGCATTTTCTTGATTAATAATTGATATGGGGAGGCTCTGCCCATTGTGGATGAAGTCAGTCCTGGGCAGGTGACCCTGGGTTGTATAAAAAAGCAAAGAGAGCAAGCTATGAGGAACAAGCCAGTACACAGTATTCCTCCACAGTTTCTGCTTCAGTTTCTGCCTCCAGGTTCCTGTCTTGAGTTTCCTCCCCGATTTCCCTTCATGATGGACTACAACTATCAGATAAACATTTTCCTTTCCAAGATGCTTTTAGTTATGATGTTTTATTACAGCAATAAAAACCCTAACTAAGACAAGTCAGTAGCTAATTTAGGCAGAAAAAAACGGGGACTTTTATTGATAGAAACAGGAACTTGCAGGTTGGAGAGATAAATTAGTTATTAGCAAAGTGACTACAGTACAAACATGAGAACCAATGTTCCCAGCTCCTGCATACATGTAACAATCAGGGCATGGCTGCATGCACCTGTAATCCCAGTGCCAGGAATATTTATGCCTAGAGCGTGCTGGCTACCTGGTCTCACTGAACTGGTAAGCTCCATGCTCAGTAACAGACCATGTCTCAAAACATAAGGTGTACAGCAATAATGTAAGACACCTAACAGTTAACCCTGGCCTCCGCATGCACACACATTAAATGTCCAGGAGGACAACTGCTAGGCTGTATGATAAATATATAATTGGTTTTTGACACTACCCAACTACTTTCAAGTGGCTGCACCATTTTATACTTTCATCACTAAATGCATCACAGCTCCACTTCTTCAACATAATTACTAGCATTTGGTGTTGTTATTAATTGACTTTAGTTACTCTGACAGTTTCACAGTTACAGAACAGTAGCATCTTAATTTGAATTTCCCCAGGGGCAACAATGTTACCCTTATGTCTACACACAAACTGATTGTCAAGCATGATTTGAAGGTATTCTCTCCCATCCTGTAGATTAGTTTGTTCTTCCATCCTCTTTTGTTTGGTGTATGTATGTGAGGGGGTGGGGAGGGGAGGGAGAGAGAGAGAGTGAGCCAGCACATCTTTTCATGTGTGGGTGCAGGCAACAGGTCAATAGTGGGTATCTATGTCACTCACTCTCCACTTTGGCTTTTGAGACAAGGGCTCTTGCTTAGGTGGAGCTCATAGATTTGGCTAGACTGACTGGCCAGCAGGCTTCAGGGGTCCAACTTTCTCTACCTCTCCAGCACTGGGATTTCAGGGACATATTTCCATGTGTGTGTGGTAAGCAATTTATCAACTGAGCCACCTCCCATCTCTGTCCTTCCATCCTCTACACAGTTCTCACAAAGCATATTTCTAACAATTTTATATTCAATTTATAGAAATTTTTGTTTGTGGATGATGCTTTTGGCATCATCCCTAAAAGTCTTCTTCAAGCCCCTACTCCTGAAGATTTTTCTCCTATGAGTTTTAAAGTTCTGCATGTGATTAGCTTTAGTAACTCTGCCAGACATTCTACAGGACACAGAGAAAAGAGACTGAGAGACTCTAGGCCTATATGGCTGAAGATGGATGCCCCAAAGTTACAGAGGAACTTCGGATGACTGTCCAGGCAGGCAGCTGTCTCTGTCATTCTAGATTTTTTTGAAGATGCTTATAATGCTTTTCCTGTTTACTTAGGTAATATTATATCTTTTTGAGGTCTTTGATGTAGTTGAAGACTAGATAGTTATAATTATGTTTTTCCTTGGTTATGATAAAAGATAAATCAGATATGAAAACTTAGACTCACAAATACAGGATAAATAAAATATTTTCTTTCATTTTACAAAATGCAAATAGACTAGATATTGTAACTGTAATTCTTGCTTAATAACTGTTTATTATATGTAATTTTACTATGTTAAAATTAAAATATTCCTTTTTAATTAAACAGAAAAGGAGAAATACTGTGGGGTAATGCTTTTGTACACTGGTTTAATAAAATGCTGATTGGTCAGTAGCCAGGCAGGAAGTATAGGTGGGATAAGCAGACAAGGAGAATTCTGGGGAGAGGAAGGCTGAGTCAGGAGATGCCAGCTTGTCTTCCAGGGAGCAGCATGTAATGGCACACAGGTAAAGCCATGGAACACATGGTGACATATAGATTAACAGAAATGGGCTGAGTTTAAGTGTAAGAGCTAGTCAGTAGTTAGCCTGAGCTAATGGCCAAGCAGTTATGATTAATATAAGCCTTTGTGTGTTTACTTGGGGGATGTGAGTGGGAGAGATTTGTCCAGACCGCCGGCAGGCTGCGACACAGGAAATCTTCTGGCTACAGCTCTTAGCTACTGTATATGCATAACTAATTGGTAAGATCTATCTGGATCTTTCTAGGGCACATTTACATATATTTTCACTCATATGTCACCAACAAAGATCAAACCTTTTCAGAATAACCTTGAGTTCTTTTTCTCTGGTTTATCTCTAAGTGGATAATCCACGAACAACTCACATAAATATGCATTAAGTTCTCACTTGACTGTTTTATACAGTTTTCTTTATACCTTGTAAGCAAACAAATACAATGGTGTCATCTGTATACTTGTGACACAACAGACCTTAAAACATTTTTCTCTTTATATGAGTCTAATCCTAAACCCCTTGGGCATCCACAGACCCACCTTTACCTAGTTGTGCATTTATAATGTTGCATCGAATAATGTCAGGCTTCTGTGACTTAGAAAAACAGAATGAAGTCTCCTGTCTTCTCTTTTAAATTATGGCTTTGTATTCTCAACTGTTTGTCCTACTGAGAACTGCTTCTGTTTTGCCCCAGGAGCCAGGCAGTGTTGGAGCTCTGTGCTAATTTGGTGGGTCCAGAATGTAGTTTTAACCTTTACATTTGAAGTCCTGTAAGTC